TGCAAAATGAAGCAGTGTTTCTCCCCCAACAAGCAGAAGAACCTGGCAGCTTTGGCCAAGTAGTGCTGTTTTAGAGTCAAAGACACAGAGAGGGGTTTTAGAAGAACCCTCCTCAGCTAAGGAAACCTGCTGGGGCCAGGCAAGTGTCAGAGGTATCTCTAAATGAAGGTCCAGAGAAGCCATTGTTTTTTGAAGCAAAGAAGGTGAAGCCTGGAATGTCTTTAAAACCCCAATATGCTGGACATGCCAGAGCTGTGGGTACCTGCTGAGGAAAGCTTTCTACAAAGTGTGGAACCAGCCCGAGAGAGAAAAGTGTGTTGCAGTCAACAAAACTGAAAGGCATTGTTGATTGTTGCTTGACATTAGATATAAAGATGAAGAGTTTGGCATTTGCCCTGATGATGTTAGGTCTTGCTTTGGTCCAGTATTTCCTCACTATACCTCCTTTCTGCCCATTTGGAATGGTAATGTATATTCTGTGTCATTGTATATTAAAAGTATGAGGTGTGCTTTTTATTTTGATTTTCAGGGGATATTGTTAAGAGATTACCTTAAGCCTCCTAAAAGACTTTGAATTTTGGACTTTTAAAGACTGTCGAGACTGTGATAGACTGGGGACTTTTGAAGTTGGATGAATCAGTTTTCACATTATGATATGGCTACATGCCTAAGGGGACCAGATAGAGAAATGCAGTCATTTGAGTAAGAATGGCTTCCATCAGTACATAAATTTGAATGCTTGGTCACTAAGGATTGGGACTTTTGGAAGGATTAGAAAGTGTGGATTAGTTGGGGTAGGTGTGTCATTTTTGGAGAAAGTATATTAGGCTTTGAGGCTTCAGAAGCCCAAGCTGAGCTCAGAGGAAGAGGTATACTTCATTCCTGACACCTGTGGATCTGGATATAGAACTCTCAGTTACCATGTCAGCCTGTACACCACCATACTCTCTGACATGAGTATAATAGGCTAAACCCTTTTCCTTTATAAGAGTTGCTATGGTCATGGTGTCTCTCCAACCCAACCGAACAATGCCTAAGACACACACAACCTTAGACACATACAGACAGGTACCAAAGACAAGCCCCACCCCCCCCAAAAAAAAATCACCATCCTACAATCTCTTTTGAGGTTGTACAAATGGCCAGACTGTCCAATATGTCTCACCTCTTAATGTTTTCATCACCTCCTAACAACACTGCTGACTATGGCCAAGTCTTGCATACATGGTCTTTGGAAAGACATTCTAGGTCCAAACTATAGCAAAAACGGAGCTGCCTGTCATTATTAAGATCATAGTCCCTACTGTTTCTCAGGATGTTCCTGTAAACACTATGATCTCTTAAGATGTATCAAGGACCATTCAGAAGGAGAGGTTACGTATGGGGTAAGGGAAGAAGAATACTGGGGCAGCAAGAGTTTTATATACCCCTACTCAACACCCATAAACAAATTTGAACTCTATGTTTTCTATTCTAGTCAACTGACTGATGTTTAATGGGACCAGATTATTAAGTGTTTAAAAGAATCTATAAATCAGCATAATTACTGATTCTGTGTATCTATACCTAATGTATGTATGTATGTATGTATATATATATATATATGTGTGTGTGTGTGTGTGTGTGTGTGTGTGTGTGTGTATGTGTGTGTGTGTGTGTGTATTTCAAAATTTTGATGAAAAAAATGGAAATTATTACCTTAAGGGTGAATTAAGGAAGTGCAAATGATAACATCCAGATATTCTAACATGACTCTCTTAACTATCTGAAACAAACAAACAAACAAGAAAGAAAGAAAACAACTTGTCTCCTTTATATAGAGAACACTGGGACCAGGGACATGCAAAAGGTTTAATGCAGATCTACAGTGTATGTGAGCTCTAATGTGCTTCCCACTAAATACCAGTACATTATGTACTGCCTGCCTCCTTTTCACCCCAGAAATTGTAGGTGTCCTTGGGCAACCATTCCACCACCCATCTTCTCTGAATACAACACTTCCCTGAGTTACCCTAAAGAAAAACTTTGAGTTTCACTTTGCCCTTTACTTTTCATGTAATGGCATGATAGCATCTTATTAATAATAGTCAGCACTGTGCTTATGATTTTAAACATTATATTTACCCATGATTCTTTTGCAAAGTATTCAGTGCCTTATTCCTACAATACATGGGGATGACCAAGTTATATACAAATTCCGTGAAAATAAATTTTGATTGTGATTATTGCTAGCAGAAAAGATATCATAACGGCTTCTGCTTGCTGATCTTTTGTAAGGAAAAAAAATGGCCACAATTATGGACTCTGTTATGAATGATTCATCTCAATTGACATTAAAAATGTGTGAATAATCTAATAAGATTTCTTCCAAATGAGACCTAGACAAGTTTTTAAAGTAAGACCAGTTTCATACAAGTTGTCTGCTGTGTGTGTCTGAGTTATACAATATTAGAAAGGATTGTGTATAAGATGGATAAGAAAATAAGAAATTGTTTATCATTGAAAACTGATTTACTAAAATATTTTGAACCAATTTATTCTCCAGGATATATAGAAAAGATACAATTTTCTCCCTCTAACCTCAAGCTACAAAAAGTTTATCTGAAAAAAAAAAAAACAAAAAACAAAAATGTTATCATGTTTCACAAGAGCCCTTAAGAAACATCCTTCCTTTAAATGATTTTCCCTGAGTTGGATTTAATTAAGTTTAGAGAAGTGAACTTAGGTACAAAAGCATGAATGCAAATCAAATTATTGTCTAGACCAAGGCATCATAATATTTCCCCTTACAGCTGTATCCTGCTTTCAATGTTTGCACAAAAAGATTCCTCTAAATCAAATTTCTGATAATCAATCACACTGTAAATGCATTGAGTGAATTTGTTATTTAAAAGACTGTTCCAGAGTGAATTGCAAGAATAATAATCCTTGCTGACATCACAACCTCCAACTGCCTTCAGTGCTGTATAAATCTGCTTTTCCATTTGTCAAATCTGCCTGAAGAGATGTCTACTCAGAAATGTTGAAAGGTATGTGAATATTATCACAGGGCTGTGTATACCCCACCACTCTTATGTTAGTGACATTTCTGGCACTGCAATAAATACTCTAGATGATGACATTAATAAGAAAAAAGGTTCACTTTGCCTTATACTTCCAGGAGTCTAATCTGTGCTCCAGAAATCCCTTCAATTTTGTCTCTGATAGGGTGGATATCACATGACAGGAGTGTATAATGTAGCAAAGCCATCCAGCAAAGTGGTTAAGATGCAAGCAGGGTGAATAGGATGGGAGTGAAGATTACTGTCCTCAAGTACAGGAGCAGAGGAAGTATATAACATAGGAAGACATCCCATGAGGTAACACTCATTAAACTTTCCATTACTGTCAAATGACATCAAACCAGAAACTAAAGCCTTAATCAAATATAAGTATTTGGGGGACATCCCAAATACACCACTCTCTTTAACTATGCAAAGCCAATGAGGAACACAGCTCCAGATAAATGAGTTAGTTTTCTAACTCAGAGCAGTTAAGAGAATACGAGAAGGAACATGTTACAAACTTCAGAGTTATTTGATCTGGGGGAAGAGTTTCAGGAGGCAAGGCCTTGCTTTGGGTTGAATATTCACTGGAAGTTGGGATAACTGTGATTTTTGTTTTGGTGTACTCTTCTAATTGTTGTAGGTGATTTTTTAAGAATTTTCTGTGTATAGGTGTTCTGCTGCATGTTTAACTACGCACCATGCGTATGCAGTGCCCCAGGAGGGCAACAGATCAATGGAACTGAAGCTACACATGGTTGTTGTGTGCGACATGGGTTCTAGAGATGAGAAGACTAGACCCTAAAGCCATGATGGGCAGTGAAGCAGCAGGCACTGGAACAAGACAGGGAAGGGAAAGGCTTGGAGCTTGGGCAGTATTATAATTGCTTTTGTCTTGCTTTGCCTTGAGCACACAACGAGGAGGTGCTGTGAATATGCTTCAGTCCGAGATGGGAAAAGTCTGACATAGCCCATATTCAGCAGAAAGCATGCCAAATTTTTGCTGGGAGATCACAGCAGGCCAGCTGCTGGATGCTAGTGGCAGATTATCTCTTTCTCACCTTCAATGTGTGAAATTTTCTCATCAGTATTTCACTAAAAACATTTTGCAACAATTAATTCTGTCACAAATATGGAGAAACACACAATCATAATTATTTTTATTTATTCATTAATTGGTTGAGAGACAGGGTCTCCCTACGTATTTCTGGACAGTCTGGAATTCAAACAGATCTGATGATCTCTGCCTCCAAACAGAAACAAAGCATCATTTTTAAAACATAAAGTTTGCAAGTTTGTGTGCTTAGCTTATTTGAGCAGGACTCTCAACATGACCCCCACTGTTTTTATGCAATGATGCAAGGCATTTTCATCCATCTTACTCTTGAATGTCTCATTAATTCTTCATTTTCCAAAATATCATCACTTCACAAATAGATCACCTGGCTAGCATAGACCCTACTTTCTCAGGTTAGAAGGTATGAATTACTGTCAGTCCAATTATAAATCCCTTCATTACAAGGCCCCTAAATTCACAAATCATAAAAGATATTTCATCCTTATTTCTTACAATGTATATCTTTGTGTCACACTTTAAGCAATTTATTTTCTCCCTGATTAATACCATATTATTTATTTAATACTTGTTAACATTTATTGAGTATTATGTTGTAGGCTCTATGCTGAACACTGATAAAGGCTCTGAACCGATCATTTCTCTGCACTTTCAGTGATCGAGATTGTACTTTAGAGACACTATGTGTAGCTTCAAGTCATAAAAGGGAAGCAATAATAGTGGTATTGAACACAGAGAATTTCCTGATCCCAGGTCCTGAAGCACTGTAAAGCTTTGGATTATTCATTCTGGGGAACATGCAAAACTCTAATATATCACATTTCTTTTTTAACATTTCACTAAAATCACTTTATGGCCTTTTGGGTAAAATTTGCTTGCCAGGAAGGAAGAAATGCCTCACAAGAATCAGTGTTGTCCTTGTATAGGGGCCATGATAATCTTCTCTGTGTCATTACAAATATAGCATCTGTGCTGTGAAAGCAAGCCATCTCATTCTTATTTTAAATGCATACACACAAAATTACATATAACAGACACTATAAACTACAGTGTTTAGAGATAAAAGAAAATATGTTTGAAAGAGAGTTCACTTATGCATCTCCCTATGCAGAGAGTGACAGAGACATTGGAGGTTTGCATAATTCTGAACTCTCCATGTCAAAATCCAAACTTGCCATTCCAACACAAATTAATACACTTAATAATTAAGAAAAGGATATTTGGAATGGTGGTAAGGTTAAAAAATGACTGCATCTGAAATCAGTATAGAAAACAAAAATATTACGAAAGCACATGACCACAGCAGCCAAGAACTCTGGAGAATGATCAAGGGAACAAGTCTCAGGGTCTGTGGGATGCAAGAAAAAGCTGGAAAATGCTAAAGCTATAGACAAGTTGGCAAATAAAATTACAGCAGAAATTCTCCTAAATCTAGGGGAAAAAAAGTAATCTGTACATAAGAGGCATTTAGAACCTCCAATAGACAAGAACACAAAAGACCTTTTCTATAATACATTAAAGTGAAGGTGTCAAGTACACAAAACAACTAATAATAAAAGCTATAGCCATGCATGGTGCTATACACCTTTAATCACAACACCAATGGAAGCAGAGGCAGGTGGATCGCTGTGAGTTAGAGGCCAGCCTGGTCTACAAAAATGAGTTCAGGACATCCAAGGCTACTCTGAGAAACCCAATCTCAAACAAACAAACAAAAAGAAGTAAAAGTTGTAAGAGAAAAACGCCAATTCATCTGCAAAGGTAGAAATATCAGAATAGCAGTTCTGCCATCAATAATTCTCATAGTTAAAAAGGACAGGGAGAAGATGAGAGAGGGTGGGTGGGATTGGGAAGGAGTGAGGAAGGGACATACAGCTGGGATACAAAGTTAATAAACTGTAACTAATATTAAAAAATAAAAATTAAAAAAAGAGATTCTCAGTTAAAAAAAAACAACAAAAGAAATGGAGAAACTCCATCAGAGAACTAGCTGAACAAACGATAGGAAGGGATCTACTATGCTCAAAACACTAAACCAGAAACCCTCTGAAACTTTAGGAAAACACCTTTAAAAAATAAATAAAATAAAGTCAAACTAACAAAAACCCTTACTGCAACTAGACAAAAGACAACCAGCAAAACTACAGAAATTACTAAGCATCTCACATTAACAACCCAAACTCAAATGGGCTCAGTCTTCTACTCAAGAGACACAGGATGGCTGGCTGAAAAAAAAAAAAAAAAAAAAAAAAAAACTTCAGGCTTTCTTTATCTCCTAGAACATACCTTACTGGTAAACACAGCCACAGACTGAGAAGTAAAGCCCAGAAAAGAAGTGGAAGAAAATTGAAGATGCATTTCTAAAATGATAACTACTTCAGTACCACACTCTCATCTCTAGATAAAGTCACCCAAATGAAAATCAACTAATACATCTCTAAGCTTTGTATCACTTTCGTGAGGATGAATCATTTATTGCATACTCTTTTCCCTTAGAATAATGTATCAGTTGGTGATCTCTACAGAACCTCCCTTAATGTCCATACCATTTTGTACTGTTTTTTTAAGTCAACTAATAGGACAAGAGAATTGCATGATCCTTTTGCAATAACGTATAAACTCTAAAATTACTATGTGTGTCTCTCTGCTTCTGGGATACCTCACTCAGGATGATCTTTTCTATTTCCCACCATTTGCGTGCAAATTTCGTGATTTCCTTGTTTTTAATTGCTGAGTAATATTCCATTGTGTAAATGTACCACAATTTCTGTATTCATTCCTCAGTTGAGGGACAGCTGGGTTGCTTCCAGTTTCTGGCAGTTAAAAATAAAGCTGCTACGAACATGGATGAGCAAATATCCTGGTTGTATACTTGAGCATATTTTGGGTATATGCCTAGGAGTGGTATAGCTGGATCTTGAGATAGCACTATTCCTAATTGTTTGAGAAAGCACCAGACTGATTTCCAAAGTGGTTGTAAAAGTTTACATTCCCACCAGCAATAGAGGAGGGTTCCCCTTTCTCCACATACTTTCCAGGATGTGTTTTCACTTGAGTTTTTGATCTCATCCATTCTGATCTGTGTAAGGTGAAATCTCAGGGTCATTTTGATTTGCATTTCCCTAATAGCTAAGAACATTAAGCATTTCTTTGTTTCTCTGCCATTCGATATTCCTCTATTGAGAATTCTCTGCTTAGCTCTGTACCCCATTTTTTTAAATTGGATTACTTGATTTGTTGCTATTTAACTTCTTGAGTTCTCTAATTCTGGATATCAGCCCTCTGTCAGATGTAGGTTGGTGAAGATCTTTTCCCAATCTGTAGGTTGTCTTTTGTTCTGATGACAGTGTCCTTTGCTTTACAGACGCTTTTCAGTTTCATGAGGTCCCATTTATCAATTGTTGATCTTAGAGCCTGTGCTGTGGGTATTCTGTTCAGGAAGTTGTCTCCTGTGCCAATGAGTTCAAGGCTCTTCCCTACTTTTTCTACTAAAAGATTAAGCATGTCTTGTTTATGTTGAGGTCTTTGATCCACATGGACTTTAATTTTGTGCAGAGTGATAAATATGGTTCTATTTGCATTTTTCTAAATGTACACATCCAGTATTTTTCTTTTCTTTTATTTTCATCCAGTATTTTTCAAAAAGTTTATCCTGTAAGTCAGAATTGGTATTAAGACAATCTGACCTATTGCAATGTCATTTTTCATGTATCGTTCATTCTTGATTTTTGATTCTTCAGAATGGGTTGTGTCCTCGCTGTTCTGAATGAAAGATTGTTATCATAGAAATGTTTCCAGCAATAAATCAACAGGCTAGTTATCTCTCATTCAGGGATTCTACTCATAATTTATACACATGTATATTAGAAAATGCTGTTACATGCAATATAAGTGACCTAGGGTTGGGGTATTGTTTCTGTTGATAGCACACTTGCTTCAAAAATGTGAGGGCCTGAGTTAACATCCCCACAAACCCACATGTGAAAATCTAAGTACCATGGTACTTTTGCAGTTCCAACAATGTTGAGATGGGAGGCAGAGATAGGTTTTGGGAGCTCATTGGCCAGCTATCCTGACCTACATGGGTGAAGTTCAGGCCAATGAAAAAGTCTGTCAGGCAAAAAAATAAATATGCAGAATCACCTGGAAAACAATATCCAAAATTTTCATCTTACCACCCCCCCAACATATATTCACAAACAATTTCATCTATAACAAAACACATACATGTGCTAACACATGCACAAAATACATGGATAAAAGACAAAGGCCCTGGGACATAAAATCCCTAGTTTCAGTTGTCTATAATGCATAACATAAGGATATAAAAAGCAGTCGTATGGGTGTAGGCACTAGATTCATGATGGTGGTCATTTGTGGTGTGGTGTTTTTTCAACATTCATTGCTTTATTTCTTGAAGAAAAAAAAATAAAATGAATATGCAAATTTTCTTAATTTCTATGTCAGCATCATATGATTAAAACAGTTCATAGGTTTAAAAAAACTGACGAAAATCAAGAAACATTCATTACTTTCTATTATTAAACCAGCTTTGCAAAATATTGCCAGATAACAAAGCACCTTAGACTTTGAAATGTAGTAGACATTTCTTCTCTTGGAATTCATGCTGATGAAAGGTGGGTTCTCCTCAGTCAGTCTGTCTTTGCTGTTTTATAGTGAAATAAATTCTTTTTCTTTGTGAATACCTATTGCATTCTTTATGTGTTCTCCTTGGATACTAGTTCTAACAGTAGATTTTATAGAAGTGCTACAGGTATGTTGTCCTAGCATATTTTCTCAGCTTTGTCATATTATTATTTTTTATTGAAGATGTTGGCTAGGAACTTACAAAGAACAATAGAGTGGTGGAGAATAAAGCTTTGATCTGAGAAATACAATCAAACAAGAGCTATGTATTGTTAAATTTAATTTTAAAGTGGAAAAAACTATGCTTCAATTTTAGGCAGATGTATTGTTAACGTAGCCAAAATACACACATAAAGCATTGATTTTATTGAATATTTACATTTGCACATTAAATTTATAAAGGTTATTTGTTTTATAACAGGATGAAGTAATTTTGAAATAGAGATTGAAACCTTCCCTGTTGAAGAAATTAATAATGAATGTCTGACTGTTTTTTAAATTGAATGTATTGACAATTATTGAACATTTCAAGTATTAGTTTTGTTTACAAAGTTGATTGTATCTTTTTGACAGGTAGCAATGCTAATTTAGAACTAGAGTCACTTTTCTTACATTAGTTAGTAGTTATTTTTCAGTTATAACGTGTGTTACAAGATGAATGCAAAGTCCCCTTCTCTATTCTGCTTTGAGAGAAAACTATTCTGAACTTCTGCCATCTAAAACAGTTTTCTTTTCCATTTTCATTAAATTTTAAACCCCCAAACTCTTCAAGATATATATTTTATTTCTTGTTCTTTTGTAGCCAGAATATGTTTGTGTCAAAAGAGAAGATTGGTTCTATTCTTTTTCTTAATTTTATTTTATTTTATTAATTACACTTTATTCACTTTGAAATCCCCCCATAAGGCCCTCCCTCCTCCCTTCCCTGTCCCTCTCTCCCTTTCCCTTCTTCACGCAAGCCCCTCCCCAATTCCCTGATAGGAGAGGTCCTCCTCTCCTTCCTTCTGATCTTAGTCTATCAGATCTCATGAGGAGTGGCTGCATTGTCATCTTCTGTGGCCTGGTAAGGCTGCTCCCCCCTTAGGGGGAGGTGATCAAAGAGCAGGCCAATCTAAATTTCTCTGCTCTGATGAGATAATATTTGAGGTAGTACTAGTACTCATCCTTATTTTGCATACTTTTTTCTGTCAGACAATATCTTGCACTTTTTTTGAAGATTAATATATTTTTTAATTTAATTTTATTTTTTATTATTAGTTACATTTTATCAACTCTGTATCCCAGCTGTATCCTGCTCCCTAATTCCCTCCCAAGCCCCCCCTCCCTCTTTCACCACC